ATAAATAAATAAATAAATGTGTATATACCAATAGTTCTTAGCTTTTAAATATTGTCGTTTTAATGATGTAAGCCACCTTGGATCTTTTTAAGGAAAAAGGCAGGGTAAAATATTTTAAATAAATAAAAATAAATGAATATCTTTAAAATTAACAGTCAAGTTCATTGGATGTTTCTGGGGGCATAATTTTAAATAGATTGCCCACCCACTTCATTCTATATATTTTAAAATATATACATTAACAATAAAATCTTAATACATTAACTACTAGAATATTAATTTAAAGCACCCTGTTGTAACTTGTAAATGCCATTAAAGGTTTCAGAACAGATTTAATGCACCGCAAATCCTTACGTTCAAGGTGTTAGAGAAGAGTTAAACTTTGTTATATGAGCAGAATCGAAATTAGATTTTAATATGAAAAGATCAGGATGGCTGTAAGGGTAAGTAGTACATTTTTTAGAATCTTCAATATGTTGAAGTTACCCAGTGTAATGCTATCTTAATTACTTGCAAAGGCTTTTTCTGATCAAGAAAAAGGATTGGTGCATACATAAAAGCTTATTCAAGTGAGAACAGCAGACTCAGTTATTTAATCCCTTTGTGGAAAATGTTATAAAGGTTTTTATTGTTGACAAACTGACATTTCTACTCTTGCTATGATATGAGGTGTAACATATTTCAGGACAGAACTTTCAGGTATACTATTTCAAGATGGAACCTTAATAATTGCAGGAACTTATTACTGTGGAGCAATTCGGCATACAGCATTCCCTCTTAGCATCCTTTTGCTGGCAGGAATGGAATGAAAGTATAGTCCCTGGGGGGGAAAAGGAGAGAGTCTTCCTCTGAAAGAGGCCTGATTTTTAGGAGTACACAAAACTGTGAAAAGGGAGGAGCAGCCATATTAAAGCTCTCCAATGAGCAGAGGAATAGACTCATTCATTAGTGCTCATCAAGAAGTTAAGTGTTGTGGCATTCGCCCCTGTGGCCTCTGCTTGTCTTTCCCTCACAAAGGCTCACGTCACATTTTCCTCTTGCTGCCACCAGTGGATTACCTCAATCCACAGTATAAATGATGTTTGTCTGAACACTTGACTTGTGAATATTGAAGTGAAGCAGATTGAATAATAACAGAAGTTCTTCGATACACCATATACATAAGCAAATCATCAACAGTTCTCTTAGTACATATTTCTTTTCTCTTGCTATATCAGTACCACATTCTCTACCTAATTTCCTAACTAGCTCCATCTCTCAATGTCTGTTCCCTCTCTCTCTGACTAACCAGCCCTATCTGACTCCTCCTTCTCCCACCAAACCTCATGTAGCTGCTGACTCTGGCTCTCCAGTCCTCTCATATGTCCATGCAAATCAGCTCATGAATATGAATGGCATGAAGCCGCATCCTTGGATTCCTCTGTACACCATTAGTCTCTGTAGTAGGGAAGAGATTTTCTCTGTGCCTGTCCCTGCGTAGAGAACAAATAGATGACATAGGGAGGGTGGCAGATGATGTCAAGGAAAGGACAAGGTTTGATCATTTGGCTTCTGTAGGAACAAACATTTTTCCACTACCCATATACACATTTTCTTTAACCATCCTGATGTTCCATAGCAATATTCACATATCCAATAGGGCTATAGTTACATTACAAGGTTATATTTATTATTTACTTTCTTATAAAATATGTTGGCCAGAATGTTATTTTGCTGAATTATATTTGCACAAGGGTGATGATGTCACTGGCAGGGAGAGACTAGCAGTAATTAAAGAGTTTGTGCTTTGATCTCAGGATCATCCAATTTGCCCACAATTGGCCTGTAATCAATTTCATTGTGAGAGAGTCAGGTGAATCCTGGGACTGAAACAGGAACTCTTTAATTACTGTTCATCTCTCTCTGCAGGTGACATCATCACCTTTATGCAAGCATAATTTATTCAGCAAGACATTAGTCATTGTGAAGAACAGTGTTCAAGTTGTTCAAACTTTAAAAGGAAGATGTATCCAGAATGTCAGTCAGTGTCTCAAACCAGCTAACCAAGAAAAAATATTAAAAGAGCATTTAAGCTTTGACTGAATTTTCTCAGACGACTTTTTAACTTTTATTATGATTTAGCTGTACTGTTCTTCTTCTCTTGCATCCTTTGCTATAGATATATGCCAATGGGAAACAAGACTTTATAAATATTGAAAAAGCATATGTTGCTATGTGTTTATTAGGTGCTATAAGACACTTTGTTGTTTCTGGTACAATAAAATAACATGGCTGTCCCTCTGGGAGAAAATGAAACAAAACAGCAGCATAATGGGTTACGCATTGTGTCTTGCTTATGGGACTGAAAAACTGTCCAACAGTTGTACAGTAATGCAGATCAGGGGAAAGAGGTGATGATAAACTGTCACTGCAGGAAGGAAATGTATCCAGTGTAATGCTATCTGAAAACATGGTGATGGGACATCATTTCAGGAAGAAAATGTTTTGTTCTGTACCTAATGTGACACTGTCTGAAAAACTGACAGAATTTCTTCACTTGTGCAGTGTATTAACCATTTCTGTGATGGGGAACTTTGTGTCCTCCAAATAGCATTGAATTCTACGTAGCTCTCATCAGCTCTAACTAGCATATTCAGTAGTTAAAGATGATGAGATATACATCCAGCATCAAAGGACACCCTGCACTAGCAACTGTGCACATCAGTGTTCATAATTTTGTAGGAGTTAGAAGAGGATTTCACTAGTGGTTGAAGCTTTGTGTTGCTGAAAATACATGATTGAGTATGTATTGCAATTAGAGATGGCCTAAACAACAACAACATCATGAATCAGAAAATGGTGATTTGTCAAGATTGACAAATCACAAATAATGAATTTATGAATTTTTTTCCTGATGAATCGATTTGCCAATTCATTTTTGCCTTTAAAAGCCTATAAAAGCCCCCCCCCCAGCACCTAGGGACACCAAAATCATAGAGAAGCGCCTTCTGACGCTCCTTGTTTAAGCTTTGAAAGTTTGGTGAAGTTCGTGTAGTTATACACTTGACAATTTTGCTGCATATTCCATTTTAATAGGTTTTCTAATGAGAATGGGCCTCTAATTTCTTCTAATTCAGTGAGCAAGTCCATGTGTAGATATCTTGAAAAGGCAAGACAAGACAAAATGTAAAATATTGTAAAATTTATTTCATTTAAGTTTCATTAGTACCTTTTCATGCTTATGAAAAATTATCATTTTCAGTCATCTGGTATAGTCAGTTAGCACAGGACACTTTATAGGCAGCAAAGCTTTATCTTTAACGTCTTGGAAATATTGCTTTGTACAGTGGGGTCTCTACTTAAGAACTTAATCCGTATTGGAAGGCGGTTCTCAAGTCGAAAAGTTCTTATGTCGAATCTGCATTTCCCATAGGAATGCAT